AGAAGATTTTTAACGGTTTTTTCGATATATCTCGAAAAGTAACAAAGCAATCGATACTTTCAAAAAATCAGTCGATAGATCTTTTTAAAACCTACAACTTTCTCATTTAAAATTTTTCAATCCGTGCTATATTTTTTGTTATTTTAGAAAAACCGTTTTTTTCAACTTTGCGATTTTTTTTCGCCATATTGCATCGAGTTTAAAGAATAAGAAACTCAATTTAAAATTTAATTTTCTATACGGTCATATTTTTTTGTCCAGGTAATAATTTCTGTAAGCATTTCTCTATAATGCTTGGACTAGTACATTCCTCTAATTAAGGTTGAAACGATCAAAATTTACATTGCAATATTCTATAGCTGTGATGCTTTCCTCTATCTCTATTAAATCGACTTCACCTAATTCTTTTTTGGCATTTAAACCAGCAACAAACTTTGCAATGCTGCTAGCTGCTTGTCTGGTCTGCTTCTAGATTCTAGATCCTTAACGCTAGTACACACCAGCACCTTCTTACTATTTATTTATTCACATATAACTTTTGAGATCATTTTTGCAATTTAATTTTTTTAACATTTGAATAAATTTGTTTATTAGTCGTTTATGGTATTATAAAAAGAAGGTTTGTTTTAACGAAACATTAGAAACAAATAGAACATTGAATATATACTTTGCTATAGTATAGGGTGTTGAAAATAAGGCTAAAAAAAATTGACTGGACTATGATTTTGAAGTTAATCTTTACAATGTGCTTATTATTTTTAAAATTTCATATGGAGATAGTGACTATGGTGCTTCTCTTATAAAAAACTACTCAGGCAGATTGCAGAGAATTCAGGATGAAAGTTTTAGATTTTCTTGCAGCATAAGAAAATATGACAGCGGGATTAGTGAATGCATTAATGACTTTCAAAATTCGAAGCTTGACAAATTAAGAATACTGCACATTTTGTGTACCATATTACAAAACATGATAATATTTATTCTCTAAATTGAAGAAACTGCAGAAATCTACTTTTTTAAACCTCTATTTTGGCACTTTCTGAAAGCAAATCGCCACAACACTTTTGTATACCAGAAGCTTCTCTTCCACTTCTCTTAAGCGCTATAATATTTTGCTAACTTTTCCTTAGTTAATTAAAAAATAAATTAAAGCTGTTATTATACACTCAGTTGAACAATTAACAGTAAGTTTTTCTTTGTTGTTGTCCACTTGATTCAACCACAATAATTATTCTGTTTATTGTCGTTTTTATAATAAGTTTGTCTAAATAAATTAATCATATTTACATTTATTTAGTAAAATTTTCATATTTATTCTTATATTTATTATAATTATTATACTTATTTATATCTCGTATTAATTTATTGTGTCTATCATATTTTTATTTTATACCCACTTGTATGTAATAGGGTTAAGTTCGCTTTACTCTATGAACAATAAATTTGCGAATGGAACAGCTTAGCTATTTAATGAACAACATCAAGATCGACATGTCAGGAGGAAGTATGTTCTAGAGTTAGTAAAAAAATTTCAAGAGATAGAGAACGTAGCCAATAAAAACGAGAAACTGAAGAACCTATAGTTAATGAAGCTAGTGAAGTTGCAGTTTTGGGACAAGTTCATCTTGATTAAGTACGAGGCAGCTGGCATCTGTGTCTAGGATCAATCGAACTAGCACACAAACCATTTTGAAGAAGAATAAATTCCATCCATACAAAATGCATTTAGTCCACGAACCTCATGATGATGATTATACCGTTTGCAATTTTGCGAAATATTGAGTGGGCGAGCAGGGAACGATCCACAGTTCCTTTTGAACATCTTGTTTTTTTGATGAATGCAGTTTTTTCTTGAACGGGACGGTAAATCGTCACAATTGCCGCTATTGGTCCGATTCAAACCCAAGAGCTTTTCACGAGGTGCATACACAGCAACCGGAAAAATTATATGTATGGGCTAAAATTTTCGGTGACCGGCTGGTGGGTTCTTTTTTTTTGTACCTGGTAATTTGACTGGCTAAATGTATTTGCAATTACTGGAAGACGCTATTGACCCTGCCTTGATTGATATTATTGAAAAGTTCCAGAGTATGATGAAGATTTGGCCACCCTGTATAATAGGGAAACCTTATCGATTTGATATTTTCACAGACGGTGTTCGTCTTTTGAGCACATTTAAATGCATATAATTAGTGTTTCTAGTGTGAATAATGGTGTATTCGAGATAAATACATATGTAATATTGGTATGCAAGACAAGGAAATTATTCAAATGAACATAAGCAGTGTTTGCAAAAGCATAAAACAACCAAATTAATTGTGAAGCTTATCTGATAGATTGCTCATTTACGAATCACCCTGCATAAACTTTAATTTGAAGTGGCAATCGCTTAAATCCAGGGAAAAATTTTCGGTAAGTGGAACGAAAACTACCAGGATATGCTAAAATGGAGCGAGCTTCCCTTACATCATTTACCTGTGAAGACGATCCTATAGATCCAGCGCTGGAGGTGTGCGAGGTATGCGGTGGAGTAATGACGCTGGAGAACCTCGAGATTTTGTGGTCTTTGGTAAGACGAACACGTTGATGGGCACTAACACAGGTATCACATAACAAATCACTACACTCTAGGCATTTCGAAAATGCCGAAGCACCCTCCTCACAATTCCCACACAGCGAGAGAGGGTTGTTTTCCTTTGTCACAGCCTGAAAAAGCAACCATTAACAAAATTACACGAGGTGTGAGGCGTACGTTACCGATATGATTCCAGTTATAAAGTTGTCTATTGGAGACTCAAGTGAGGTGCTGGCAGTAATCGTGAGAGGTGCAGTTGTAGACGGAGAAGTTGGAAAACCTGAGGTAGATGTGTTGGAAGACATTTTCTTTACTGCATTAAGGACTGGTTGTTCTATGGCAGTTGGGGTAAAAAAGTGGGAATCTGAAATGGAAAGTTAAATTAAAATGTCGTAAATCATTTTTCGCTTTCTACAACCAACTACGTGAATTTTGACTGTTTGTCCTCAACTAAATTAGATCTGTTGCTCTAAACTGTCAACATTGTCACTAATATTGAAACCATAGCTAGGTACCGAATTTGACAACTCTACTTTTATCATTATTGTTTCATTAACTGACTTTCCTTTACACATATAGTCCAAGCATTCTGTCACGGATTAAGGTTAAATTTGCAGAAATTATTACCTGGACAAAAAAAATATGACCGTATAGAAAATTAAATTTTAAATTGAGTTTCTTGTTCTTTAAACTCGATCCAATATGGCGAACATGGTTAAAAAAAATCGCAAAGTTGAAAAAAACGGTTTTTCTAAAATA